ACATTGTCAATTGATCAAGTTTTAGCTGAGCCTGGGCTTAGAGATTTTATTAGAGAGATTGTTGTGAAGTGTATTACCTCAGTTTCTATGAAGGCTTGTGGAATGGTAATTGCTCAAATAAGTTTACGCCTTCTCTTGGCATTAGATACGGTGTCATTTGTTGCCCTATTTGTTTGTACTTATTATGGAGAAATTGAGTCATTATTAGTGATGCTCAAAGACTGGGGAGATGGAATGCGGTTTGGTTAGGTAGAGATGGCCATAAGATTACTCATCTTATGTTTGTTGATGATCTCTTATTGTTTGGTGAGGCTTCTCTTCAACAGTTATCTTATACAATGGAGTGTTTGGAGGTTTTTGGCAAATTGATAGGGCAAAAGGTGAGCATTCAAAAATCTGCTACTCTATTTTATAAGAATGTTGCTAGAACAACTAGAGAGGAACTCCTTCGATTAGTGAACTTTAATGTTGTTGAGGATTTTGGTAGATATCTTGGAGTTCCTTTGACTTATGGTAGATCTAAGAGGCATAACTTTGATTATGTTGTTGAAAAGATTAAAAAGAGGTTATCAAGCTGGAAGGATAATTGTTTGAGTATGGCGGAAAGAGTGACTTTTGCTAAGTTTGTGCTAAGCTCTATTCCTATTTATCCTATGATGATTGCTAAACTTCTTATGGCTATTTGTAAAGAGATTGAATGGATTGAAAAGGCTTTTATTTAGGGTCATGGAATAGAGGAAAGGAAGTTGCATTTGATTAGTTGGCAAAAATTGAAGTAGCCTAAGTATTGTAGTGGGCTAGGCATATTGGATTTAAAAATTATGAATGAAGCATACTTGTTAAAGCTGGCTTGGGCCTTGAGGTCGGGGAAGGAAGGTTTATGGGTAGAGGTACTTCGCTTTAAATGTAATGATGGTAGAGCATTTGAAGATGAGGTGAGAGTTAGGGATGCTGACTCTACTCTTTGGAATGACATTTCTTCTGTCTCGTATCACCTCAGGGGTAATTGGATGGTTGATATTAAGAATGGGAGAGACATTAGTTTCTAGGAGGCACCTTGGGTTAGTATTAGTTGTTTGTTAAGGGATGAAGTTTTGAGACCATTAACTCCTGAGGTAGAAGCGTGGAAAGTATCTGATGTTGTAAATGAGCATAGAGGCTAGCGATGTTTGAAGCATTTTCTGTTTGATGAGGCTTTACTGAGAGTACAATATGCTTTGCCTCCTAAACCTGACGAAGCTAATGATGCAATAAGATGGAATAGAGGAGGGTCTAGAAGATATTTAGTGTGGGAGGGTTATCGGATGTTAAGGGGAGATATAGAGGATCAAAAGGAGAGACTGTGGGGATAAATTTAGGATTGGCCTGGTATTAAAAAGATTCAAGTATTTTTATAGATGGTTGGTGATGGCATAATTCTTACAAATGTAGCTCGTCATAAGCAATAGCTATTTCTGCTAAGTGTGCCATATGTGAGGGCCATGAATCTTTGATGCATGTATTGCATGATTGTCCTGCTGCTTTTAATATTTGGCAAAGACTTGTTCCGCAAAGTTTGGTTAATGATTTTTTTCACTTGGATGAGTAGGAGTAGTAGAGATTTAATTTGCTTGAGACAGGGAGGAATAGAGAAGTTGTTTCATGGAGTTTAATATTTAGAGTTTCTTGTTGGTTAGTTTGGAACAGAAGAAATAGCAGAGTGTTAGGGACAGGGCTGGTATGCTACCTGTATAGAATTTTGGTAGGTATGTGATTGATTTTGTTGATAAAATATTGCATGTACACTACGATGATGGGGTTTTTGGTAGGCCAAGTAAAGTCTCTAGTTTGGTTAGATGGAAGCCTCCTCATAAGGGATGGGTTAAGTTGAATTTAGATGGGGCTAGCAAATGTGCACGAAGGGCTATTGGGCGTGGAGGGGTTGTACGTGGTTGTAATGGGAAATGGATCTTTAGGTATAGTAAGAGAGTTGGTTTTACATATGCTTTTGAGGTTGAATTGTGGGGTGTTTGGTGGGTTTAGAACTGTGTTGAAGGCTGGGTTTTGTTAGGTTGAGTTGGAGCTTAATTCTTTGGCTCTTGTTAGAAAAATCTCAGAATTGTTGTGATAACAAGCTACTGGGTTTTGTTCAGAAATGGTTAGGTAAGAACTGGAGAGTAAAAGTTATGTATGTACAATGTATTGGCAAATCATGGTTTGAGGTTGAGTATGGAGATTGCTATGTGGGATAGCATGTTAAGTAGTGTTAGTTTAATCTATTTTGTTGATTTGTGTGGAATCTCATTTGATTGAGGTTGACTTTTACTGATTATATTTTTGGGCTTTTACCTCCTTGTTTACCAAAAAACAAATGACATTGTTAATTTGAATATGCATGATTCATATTAATTCACAGAAGTAATTTATTATGGTCGAATTTAAATATCATAATCTATTTTGATGTCATATGCATCGGGATTTTTTTTAGTGCATTGGTCCTTTTAGAATTAGGGTTTGCTTCAGGAATAAAAAATAAAAATAAAAAAGATTTCCCCAAGAAGAATGTGTTATTATTATTATTATTATTTTTAACCTAATAAAGTATTTTATTTTAGGGTTAAAGTGAAAAAATATTTAAAGATTTTTCTCTTAAAATTTTTGATATCCTTAAATCAATAATGATATATGAGTATTTGTTAATTTATACATGTCAACATTCTCGAATGTGTTTCAACATCAGGTTGTTTTAACATATTGGAGAAGGGCAATCTCTATTGTATGGTTAATAGGTACTTATACATAATTGTTGATTTAAAAATATAAAAAATTAGATTTTTTTTGTGCCCTAAGTTCGTAACCTTTTATTTTATGCCATTTAAATTAATCTCTCCCTAAGAGTTTTTGCCTAGGGGTGTTTATAGGACAGAACAAAACTTGAACACTTTTACCCTGTGTCTTGCCCCAAAAAATTATTGGGACTAGATTTTTACCCGTGTCTTATCCCGTCTTGTTAAGAATTGGAACGAGACCAGGACGAGATTAGGACGTACAACCATCTCAATAAAATGGATAATGTGAGAGAAAGATTTGAATAATAATATTCATTAATTAAAAATTTAAGTTGCATAACTTATTAAATTTAAAACTAAAACAACATGACTACATAAATCACAACAATTATTAAATTACGTCAATTACAACTATAAATATACAACTTAAAGTCAAGTATACATGAGATATAATATATGATGATAACAATTATAATATAAGAACAACAACAACAGACAAGCTTAGTACAATATAAAGTTATTGTTATTCTTCTTCAGTTGAAATATGTTGAACTAATGACTCTTTAAAAAATATAGCAAGAAATTCAATATAAATAAAAATTATTAAATAAGTAAATATGAGAATAAATTATGTTAATATAATTAATATATTATAAAGCATATATTACTCTGTATTGCTTACTCTATATCATTAAAATTATCAATATAAAAATTTTTAGTTTTAAATAAGAATAGCATGTATTGAAATTATAATTAATATAAGTATAAATTATATTAATATAATTAATATATTTAATGTATATTTTTAAAATAAAAATAATATATATATATATATATATATCTATATCTATATTTATATAATGTTTGGAACAGGACGGGACGTTTCAAGAACAATTTCATATCCCATTCTATCCCAAACTCCTTTTTCATTCTATCTTATAAAGTTTTGTCTCGATTGCTTATGAGTCAAAATAAGACTCATTTCAATATAATTGAGATGAAAATGAATCAATTGAGATGCATATAAGTTGAATACTCCTACCGTTACCTTTTTAGGCTCTCAAAGAAACGTGGGCTGGATTTCCTATGCTTTATGTTTATTGTTCCATGTTTCGCTCCTTGGTATGATGGAAGGCAAATAGATAATTAAATAAGAGAAGATTTAGCAATTAATAAATAAGAATTATTACATTTCTGCACATTTTTGTCGTATTTTATTGTCATTATCTCATTTTAAGATTTACAGCTGAATTTTTATAACCTACATCGCAGTCTCTAAAATTCACAACTAAATTTCTATAATTTATAAAATTTTGGCAATTTATAACTTATTTATAATTAATTTTGCAAGGCTAGCAACTGAGAATTTATAATTTGCAATTCAACTATGCTATCAAGTACCAACTTATGAATTCATTTTAATAATCTATTTTCTTTTTTAATAATTTTTTTGGTCTTTCTTTGTTATTTTATTTCACAAAATTGTAATCCTTTGGTTAATTTTCTTTTTTTTTCAGAGTTTAAGGGTCTGTTTATTTTTTATTTTTAAAAGAAGAAAAAAATTTAAAAAATTGTTTGGATAAGTATTTTTATTTAATTTTTTTCAATTTTTTTCATTTTTAAAAACAAAATTATTTTTAAAATATATTACATTTAATTATTAAAAATTATATAGTTATCTTGACTAACTACTATTATTAATCACCACTACTAATTGTTTATAATCATCACAATCAATTTATTTTTTAATTTTAAAATTATTTTTTAATTGACATAACCAAAATAAATTTTAATTTATTTTATTTTAAAAAATAATTTTAAAAATTATTTTACAAAATAATTTTTAAAAATAAAAAATAAAAACAGGAACCAAACAAACACTGATTCTCCCTACTTGTTTTGTATGCTCCACTTCCACATATCTCACACGAACAGCACGGAATTGGCTTCCCCCTCTCCTTGTGAAGGTTATATGGTTAAGATTTAATATTTTATTTTTATTATAAAACTTTTTATTAAATTTAATCAGCAATCTAGGGAAAACTTTAATTTAATATGGGTAATCTAAATTTAATCTTAACTTTTTTACAATTTTAATATTAAATATTCAATATAAATATATATTGATAATTAATTTATAAAAATTTTAAATTTTTTATTAAATCTAATTATTATTTTAAACAGTCCAATTTAATACTTTATATTAAAATTTAACAGAAGGGGAGAGGAGGGCGAGCGGAGAGAAGAGAGGAGGCAATTCCCGCACGGCACGGCATGTGAGAGTGAGGCCGCGCAAAGGTGTCCATGGAACCGCGAACTTCAAATTTAGGGTTCTTTTGGTAATAAAATTCGACATTGAAATTTAATGAATTTGTGAATCGATCGGATTTGATCGTCAATGGAAGAAGAGGAGAGAAGGGATCGGGGAACAAAGGCGAGGTCTTTGATAGAGAAGGCCACAAACTCGACTTCTCCAGAGGTCGATCCTCGTCTCCTTCGGGCCATCAAGTCGGTGGTGCGAAACTCGGATTCGGAGCTCCGAATTGCTGCCGAAACACTTACAGACCTCATGAAGCGAGACCACTCTCAGGTTCTCATACTTAATTTTGCTGTTTTGCGGATGAATTATTTTCGTTACCCAAGGACTCCCCCCTTGCCCCCCCCCCCCAGCCCAAAGAAAATTTTTTTCCGGGTTATCCAAGTCGGGTTGAATTCAGTTTTGGCGGTTGAATTCACGAGAAAATGTTTCTCAAATTTAAAACTTTAGCCGTGAACGTTGGAATCCATGTGTATTTTGGGAGATTGGATATTTAAATATCTTGCTTGTCTTCTATTTGAATAAGCTTATCATTCTCAATGCTACTATATGATGAGATATGAGTGCGTTTATCGTTTCATGATTAAACTGTCGTTTGTTGTTGACAGTCCACAGGTTCTGAATTACTGGATGAATAAGCTTAAACAATCTTCCGATCATGAATTAATTCATGAGGAATTTGAGTTATCAGTCTTCAATTGACTCATGAATTGAGCATTCTATCTGCCGATCCCCAAACGATGTTGTTTGTAGAATACAAGCTCTTGTCGTTGTCTTTCTTGTCATTTACTATTGCAATCATTGTCGAGTCACTGATCAGAATTACAGGGATTGGTAGTACATAGCTTAAACTATTTGGTGCTCTTCTCAGGGGCATTTTATTAGTTATCTACATTAAAGGTTTTAACTTTTGAGGTTACTTCATCATCTGAATACTGAGAAAAGGTTTATGACCTCGATAGATATATGTTGCAGGTTAGGTACCTCACACTTCTAATAATTGATGAACTGTTCATGCGATCAAAGCTTTTTAGAACCCTTCTTGTTGAGAATTTAGACCAGCTACTGAGTTTGAGTATTGGATTCAGACGAAATCTGCCACTACCTGCACCCCCAGCTGTTGCATCTGTTTTACGTTCAAAGGCCATTGAATTCTTAGAAAAATGGAACCACTCCTTTGGGGTTCATTACAGGCAGCTCAGATTAGGGTATGATTACCTAAAGAATACCCTTAGGCTTCAATTTCCTAACATACAGGCGAATGTGGAGCGGATGCAGCAAGAGAGAAGGGAAAAAGAGAGAAGATCTAAAGAGATTTTGTTGATCAAATTTGAACATTTGAGACAGAATTTATCATCAATAAAAGGAGAAATAATATCCACAGTGGATGAGATTGGAGAGTGTTTGGAAATTTTGAACGCAAAAGAGGAGTTTATGCAGGATGATATCTTAGATGATGAAGTAGAAGAGTTCCGTCCTTCTGAGCTGCAGCAGATGCGTCTTGATGCCATAAAAGAAGGAGAGAAGGTTAACGAGAACAGTGATAACAAGGTGATTTTTGATGCTCTGAGGGAATTGTACAAGCTTTTAGTGACAAAGCATTTGATTTCGATCCAAGAATGGATTTCTGTTCTAGTAAGGGTTGAAGTAGCTGACAATAGATTTAGAGATTCCACTTTGAAGGAGTTCATTGACATTTGCAATCGTCTGAAATCAGTTCAAAAGAAATGTGAAGAGGCTGGATGTTCTCTTCCAAACACATCCAAACATGGTGAGGAAGAAGATTTTTGGGAGGAGGGTGAATTTGTAGCTAATGAAGTTGCATCTAGTGTTCCCAAGAACAAAGATAAACATCTTGACATGGTATCTACTTCCCAAAAAGAGACTGATGGTGCTCTGAGTTCAAGAAATAAAGAGTCTAACAGCTCAAACACCAAGAGCTTAGCTCATGGAAGGAATGAAGTAGACTCAAACTCTCCGAGGAGCAAACTTCTAGCTGAAGCTCCTGTGGTAAGGTGGAGTTCTCATTTGGATGATTGGGGCTCAAACAGGGTTTTTATGGCTAATCAGCGGGGCTTGGAGCTTGATAATCACTGGGGGCGGGTGGAGTCTGATGTTGTTATCCCAGCAGATAAAATTGCTGAATTGAATGTTCATGCTGCATTTTATGAAGAGAAGCAAGTGGAGATCCAACCATGTCGTGCTCCTTTGAGGAAGGGGGGGCTCTGTCAGAGAAGAGACTTGAGAATTTGCCCATTCCATGGACCTATCATTCCTCGGGATGAAGGAGGGAAGCCACATGATCAGGGCCTGTCTGAACACAAGGTAAATGTTGATTTGGGTACTGATTTGGCAGAGCAGTTGGCAAAACAAGCTGTGAAGAATGTTCGTGAAAGAGATAAAGAAGTGGCAAAGAAGCGACAAATTGATAAACAGACACTGAAGCGTGCAAAACTTGCCAAAATCCGGGAACACAACGAATCAGTTTTACGGGATGCAGCTTTGGCTTCTACTTCGAGATCCATGTCTCTTGGGCAAGATGGGGATGTGATCAGTGAAGGGAACATATCTGCCAGAGACAACAAGCGAAGTCTTGCATCCATGCTTCGAAAGAAAGTAACATCAAAAGACAGAATAGCCCAGAAGCTTTTGAATTCTCAGGCTAGAGATGCTACTGTTAGGCAGCACGATGCTAGTGAGGATGCAAAATACAGAGAATCCTTCCCGAACCAATGGTGAACTGGGTTCATTTTGAGCATGTAGGATTACTTTTAGTCAAACTTCAGGATCAGATACATTGAGTAAAACCTTGTCTTGTTGAACTAAGGAAATTAACTGATTTATGCAACTGTTTATCTGTACATTCATTCCTTTATAGAGAGTGACTTGGCTCGCCAAGGAATAAGAGGATACGTTTTGGAGCTAGTCGCTGTAATACTTTTTCCCCAGTATAGTCCCACAATTTCTGCAAGAACCTTTTGTGCATAATAGGAGCCAGATGACTGCAACTTGGGCTACTTATTTGAAGTTACAAATTTATATTGAGATCATATTGTGGTTTTTGGGAAACTCTTGGAACCACAAACTGCCATTTGTGATTGAAACGCCTTTGTTAATGCCTATGAGGAAAAATTAGTAAAGCGAAAATCTTGCTCAATACATGCAAATGTAAACTCTCAGTATCCAGTCCAAGAAAATAAGAAGTCTGAATGAGCAGCTATGATAAATGGCAAATCCAATATATCTTCAAATGAAAATTTCTAAGTGGGGTTTTTAGCAGTGCCAAAATTATCATAAATTAAGTGATAACATAAGGGCACCTCACCTAGTTTACCCCACATTTATAAGCCTCCCACCTGTCCTGGTGGTGGTGGACTTTATGAATTGGTTATTGCTCAGTTCCTTCCACTATCCCACCATCAAATGGTAGCTGCTAGCCAATCAAATAATCACGTTAGGATTCTCTCTTGCATCAGAAAGTCTCAAGTAGCGCGCGACCGCGCACCCACAGAGAGGATAATGAGACTCATGGGTGGGTTTCACTAGGTCTTGCTGCTATTTCTCTTCTGCAGATCTCAGAATTTACTTGATATACAATCAGTTTAAGTCAAAACTTTAGAAATTTACTCCATCCTCTAGAACTACTTCTGCTGATTCCTATACTTGATGCGTGTTCTTTTCTAAAATTTGCTCATCCACAAAAATTTACTTCATCTGCAGTACTAACAAACAAAAAAGCAGAGAAAGGTGGTGTATAAATAGAGAAATAGTAATATGCCGTTGGTAATGGTGCCAAGCTGAAGGTTTTGCGTTTTGGTGGTTTTGGCCCTTTTGGGTTATCAGTTGTGTTGTGGCTCACAAGAGTATTTGTTTGTTACTTTGGGAAGTAGCCGAAAGTAGGAGATTTTATTTCACCGAATCTTTCGTACCACCTGTCCTGATTTTGGCACTCAAGTAACGTTGATTCCAAGTCATATCTGATGCCTATGTTTTGTCTCACGCCTCTCTTATTGTTCATATCATATGTTTGCACATGAAGAAGATTAGTCCTTAATTCATGTGATGTAATTTTAATATGTTATCCTTTACGATTTTATATTCAAGACTCGTTCACCTCGGACAAGATAGATTAACATCATTTGAAAAATCACATGTACTTGGAATATATAATGCTGATACATGTTGTGTATAAAACGTAAGAATCCTGTGCATAATTATTTAAAAGGTCTCAATTTTAACTAGTCAAATTTTGTTTCGTTGATAGAAAGAATGTTCATCACTTATATTTCGATTGTTCTAATGCAACTCTTAGGATCAGTTACAATTTATTCTCTTATATATAAAATAATAGGCCAATTTGAGAGTGCATATCTAAGACTGTGATTGATGATGTACATGTGATTTAACTAATTTTCTTCGTTATTAAAATTTAATTAAAAATTGTAATGCAGTTAATAAACCTTAAAATGATAACAGGATGTGCTATACTGTAGAGCTGACCCGTAAAAAGTTATTAAAATTTAAAATAAGGAGTTCGGCGAACATCTACATAAGAAAAAAGTTAAAATTTTCTAAAATCATATATAATCCAAAAAAGTAAATTGGCTGTTTTTTTTTTTTAATGATAGTCGCATTTATAAACAAACAGTAAATGGACAGTGAACTAATAGTTAATTGTCATTCTATTTTTACATAATAAGTTGATTGAAAATCCCCACGACCCTTGTGGAATTTGAACAACGAGTGGTGCTGAAAGTCTTGAGCATTATGATAAAATGAAGAATGTTAAAACTGATGACATTTTGTTAAAAAAAAAAAACATTGATGACATTTCATTAGATAAAGTTTTGAAGTGGAATTATTGAATTGACTTTCATACCAATTCAAAGTTTAGAGGCAGTTCATTTTGACTCGGGCTTTGGCTAGGATCAAGTTTGAAGCACTAATCAGCAAGCTAGTTATGCTAGTCATTTACATCCTATTTTGGGGCACAATGTTGGGCTAATTAGCTTGTTTTTTGCAATTACTCTCCAGTTTAAAAATATAAAGTATTTATAATCTTTTAAGATGTAATTATTAATTTTTTTAAAAAGTATACCTATTTAATAAATCATTTTATATTCACTTAAAAATACCTTACATTTTATAATAAATAAAGTAATTATTAATTGGCTTAATTTAATTTTTCATTAAATTGTTTTGATGAGATTGAACAAGAGAGCAGTTCAATTCTTCCTTGTATATATTTATGCTTCCGATGCTGCATAAAATAAACAGAAAATTTTCTCCTTCTTTTATTATGTATATGTATTTTTTTATTAGAGACAATTTTAATTTAAAACATGATTAATGTTAAATGCAAACATTTCTCTTAGTAAAAATTAAGCTTTTTTTGTCATATTTTGATAAATTAATTCCTTTTGCTAAACGTAATTCTCATTGATAGAATTCTTTTCCTTTTAATATTTCTCCTATCAAGTTCTGTTCAATTTTATAAAATTATTTTCACAAAATTCGTCATATCCATATTATAGAAGGATGACTTGGGAAAAATGAATGGAAAGATGAAAAGGATAAACTAAGAAAAAAATATTTATTTAATAACTCTAATTCAAGCTATCAAATAAGAATAAAATACATATAACGAATGGGTAAGTGGATCTAAAAAGTTTAATTTTCAAAGATGGAGACATAATAGAAGCATCTGACAAACATGTCAAACCCAGCTAATGCGCCGGGGAGGGGAGCTCTGTAACATAAACAAAAAAACATATATAATTTTTATATAATTTTTAAAAATAGTTTTTATTTAAGGAAGCTCAAATCAATCAAAAATTATCCTGGCTCTTTAGGACCAAGCATGTCATCAAGTCAAGGCTATGTTGAGACCAAAAACCTCTCCCAAAACTAAATCCAACTAATTGGAATCTTTAGTGTTAGGTAATTAATTATCTCATGCTTGCACCATGATCACAGTAATAAAGAATAATAGTGAAAGTATAAAACTCCATCATCTACCTGTCCCACTAGTAAATCACTGCTCTTATTACACTTATGGGTGCCAATCCCAATAATAAGTGCCTGCCTGCCTTCCTTCCTTCCTTCCTTCCTCATCCTGCTCTCTCTCTCTCTCTCTCTGCTTTTAGTGAAATCCCTTGAATTTTGAAATTCCTGTTCTGTTGCTGGAAGAACCCCAGAAGAAAAGCATCCAATTTGCGCTTTTTTTTTTTTGATTTAACAGTTTAAAAATATTTCCCCCCTTCATTTCTTCTTTTTGTCTTCTAAACTACACGTTCTTTCCCCAAGTATCGTGAACTCTCGGAGACTCGGGCCCACTTCGATTTTCTTCTCGATGCCCTTTTTGGTTTGCCCTCGGGTGTTTTGAATTGGCTGAGCGATTCGAGGAAGTTAAACCCACGATCGAACTGATTATATGTCTTTAGGTGATAGAATGGAATCGACTAGCCTTGATAGTACTGTATCATCCTTGACTATGGATGATGATGAGCATATTCCCCATCAGTTTTCCTCTATCACGAAGCTGCACAACAATGGTCCTGGTACTACCAGCGTCCACGAGTTGCTTGAATGCCCTGTCTGCACCAGCTCCATGTATCCTCCAATCCATCAGGTCTTTTATTTAATCCATCTGCTTCGAGGGTTCCTCCGATCCTGCTTTCTCTTTTTGTTAACTTGATACTTTGTTGCTTTCGGTGTTCCATTTATGCGATTTGCGTGTTTGCTATCTTATTTGCTACTGTTTTTCTTTAGGTTATTAATTTAGAAGTTTTATTTATTTTGTTTTATGTAAACTGTGAGCTTAGATCATGGTTGCATTGGACATCTTAGGTATTATGATGGAGAGAATTTGCAATTGGGGGTAGGAGTTATACGTTGGACATTGTTGTACGGATCTTATGTTTGCTGGTATTTCAGTTTTAAACGTTGATTATTTTGAGTTCCTGTGGATTTTATTTCTGCGGTTGGTTGAAGTAAGGATCCTTAATTTGATTTTTGCTTCTTGCAACATCACGACTTTTCAATGTTCAGGTGATAAGTTAGAGTTTTATGATTAGTTGATTACTAATGGGAAAAGTTCGAGTCCTAAAGATTGTTTCCTGTTCATCCAGATCTGTGGAATTTCGTCAATTTCATAATCCCCTTGGTACTGCCAGATGAATTCTTCTCTTAGAAACCTTAATTTCATGGCAGAGGCTTACCTCTCTTCAACCCGATCATATTAACATTAGCACGTTACCTTGCAAAAGAGTGGAGGGAAAAGGGTTATTCCTGGGCTTTACCGTAGGTAGTTTTATAAGGGGTTTTAAAATTAATGCATGCTTTGATTTTGCCACCCCTGTTCCTGTGCTGTAAAGAAATTCTGTTAGATGGTTGATTGATTTTTCTGTTTAACGGCTAAGAGTTAGCCGTGTCCTTCACCTTCCTTGCTCCTGTGCGTGGTAGTGACCCTGTGAGTTATAAGTGATGAGTAGTTACATATTTCTGTGACTTAGGTTCTGTGTAGACAGCACTTAGCGGCTGTAACATTGGCCTTCAGCTCCCTGGTTCACAGTTCATGCCAAAGCCAGACTTGATCTGATGATATAACATTAGAGTGTACTGTGCAAGAAGCTAGAAATAAGGATGCGAACATTAAGTGGGTCGTCATACCAAAGTTCAGAATCCAGCATTATGAATCAACTTACTTCTGCGCAAATATCTTAGATTAACGTTCTGGTTATTACTTTCGCTTAGAGTGTGTTGACATTCTGGTTGTTTCTTTAGCTTATAGTGTGCTGAGGTCTATTTGAGCAAATGATGGTGCATTCCTGTCAGATTTTTCTCTTGGTGTAAGAAGTAATGTGAGCTTTGGAGTTTACTTAAAGCTCATGTGACTGCTTCAGAAAAGAAAATATGATACTTAAAACTATTCAGCAAAGGAGAAAAATTGATCTTTAAAACTATGCCTTCTGGTTCTTGTAAGGATGCATACAAGTTGATAAATGGGATCAAGGATGTCCATGATGCAGTAACTGATTTTTTTTTTTTTAATCAAAATTTGTTCTGCAGTGTCACAATGGGCATACACTTTGTTCAACTTGTAAGACAAGGGTACACAATCGATGTCCGACTTGTAGACAGGAACTTGGGGATATAAGGTGTCTGGCGCTGGAGAAAATAGCAGAATCACTTGAACTGCCTTGCAGATACGGCTCTCTTGGTTGTCCAGAGATATTTCCCTATTATAGCAAACTCAAACACGAGGCTATTTGTAACTTCAGACCATACAACTGCCCCTATGCTGGATCAGACTGTTCTGTTGTTGGGGATATTCCATACCTTGTTGCTCATTTACGGGATGACCACCGGGTTGATATGCATTCAGGATGCACATTTAACCATCGCTATGTCAAATCTAATCCTGTGGAAGTAGAAAATGCTACATGGATGTTAACTGTAAGTAATTGTAGGTCCAGGAAATTGACCAAAACAAAAAGGAAGTTACAGAGGAAGAAGAGATTTTGCATAGAGTTTCCCTCTTTGGTTCGGTTCAAACAATGTTCTCTGCTATGCATTTCTTGCTCATATTCATTGACATAATGCTGGCATGAGAACTTGTATAGCTTAAGATATAATCCAAATTAATAAGCAGTTGTCTCTGTCATTCTTTCTGGCAGGTATTCCACTGTTTTGGTCAGTACTTCTGTCTCCATTTTGAAGCCTTCCAGCTTGGCATGGCTCCTGTTTACATGGCATTCCTCCGGTTCATGGGCGATGAAAGAGAAGCTCGGAGCTACAGTTACAGCCTGGAGATAGGAGGGAACGGACGAAAACAAATATGGGAAGGAAGCCCAAGAAGCATAAGAGACAGCCATAAGAAAGTTAGAGACAGCCATGATGGCCTTATCGTGTACAGAAACATGGCACTTTTCTTCTCAGGCGGGGACCGGAAAGAGTTGAAGCTTCGAGTCACCGGAAGGATATGGAAAGAACAGCAAAACCCTGAAGGTGGAGTGTGCATACCCAACCTCTGTAGTTAAATGGAGATTCAAGTAGTAACGTGATTGCTATCTGTAGATAATTTTGGAATGAACAAACACTTGGATAAAATTTCCAATGTGTTTGCTCTCAGATTCTCTAATAAACACATGACATCTAATATAATCTTTAGCCCAATCAGAAGGAAGAAAATGTACTTGTTATGTTTTTATTGGAGAATCTGATAACAAACGCATAAGAATTGTACCCAAGTGTTTGCCCTGCTGAAAAGTGTTGCGTTACAGCAGATGATGAAGGTTTAAACTTGAAAAAATAACACATCTATAGTTTATTCCTCCTCTCTTCTGGATTCATATCCATGATGCTGTAATCATATGCTAAATTCATTAAGAAGCTTTCCCTCACCCTTCCCCACATATAGTATCTATATTGGTATTGCCGCTGGCTTTTTGGGCAAGTATCCATTGGATTACATTTGAACTAGAATGCTTGAGAAACTGTTTGCTTACACAAGACTTCCCTCCACTAGTTTTTTAATAAATCAATTATATATTTACATTGATAAATTGGACTACTGGCAAAAAAAAAAAATTGTGTGCTCATAAAATATGGAGTAAATTTTTTGAAAATTTGGGAGTATAGTTGGTCTTGTTTTAATATATAAAGGATATATCGTTAAAAACTTGAAAATAGTTTGTCATTGATCTGTAATGATATATTATTGATAAATATAATAAATGTTTAATTGTTTGTTTAGTTTAATCTTATAATATAAGTTTTATATACAAAAAAATTACTTATACCCACATGTTTATGCATAGAATAAAATATAATTATGGTAGTACATAGCTAGGGGTTTTGTTAAGAAGTTATATCTTGCATCACAACTACTTAGTTTTTTTCTCTTAAAAAAATATGGCTACTGACAGGATTAATTCAAGCAGACTCAATTGGAGGTAGTTTTTTCAAATATTGTTTGTGTGGGAGAAATTTTAATTTCATTCTTTTAAAAAAACTAGAGCCTGAAAGTGGCTTCCAGAGTCAAGCAATCAACCTTTCACTTCAAATCTTGAATCCTAATATTTTAAAAAGAGAAAAAATAATTGTTAATTCTTGTATTTTACTCATATTTTATTATAAATTTTTGTATTTTTTTATGTATCAAAAATAAAAATTTAGAAATTTAAAATACCTAAAAAATTGTAAGGATTAAAAGTTATATTTTTTCTTTTAAAAATAATAATGTATAATCATGAATAAATTTATCTATATAAAATCACTGAAACGAAAAAATGATTTGTCTACAGATAAATTCGTCATTTTAATTATTAGTGCTAATGAAAATGAATAAAATGACTGTATTTTGAATAATGATAATTCACATATTAATTCTCAGTTTGAAAAGAGGAAACCATTTCTTTTCTTTTGTTTTTGTTTTTTGGATACAACGGAAAAATCGGAACCATTTCCGCGCAAAATGGAAAGACAAGCATTTGCAATTCGTACAACAAAAATGAAAAATTTCCCAATAATTATGACAGAACGATTCATGCCTGGTGCTTGCTTTTTTTTTTTTTTTTTCCAGGTAATGTGACGTGTCTGCCCTTCGCAAAGGCCGAAGGGCAACAAACGAGGACGGACCGTTTTTGCCCCCTTCGCCGGAGCTTTATAACTTGTCTATTCTCCGAGGTTTTAGACCTCGACGGCGGTTTCTGCAAAACCACTCTCGCCTATCGCTTCATCTCACTCAGTTGAATTTACACTTGTTTACACTTGCGTAAAAGCTTATACCATAGTTCTATAGCTAGGCAATTTTCTCGTTTTTTGCTTCTCTATACTCTTCGATGAGAATTCTTAATGTTTCAACCCAAAATAACTTCCCAATTCTATCTGGAATCCCAATTTTCTACCATATCAAAGATTTGAATGGAAAACTTTCTCCTAAGCACATAGTAACCAGCTCTAGATTTCACAGAAATGCATTTCCAATCTATGTATCTATTTCCAACCGCAGAAATTTCCGAACTTGGGTGCACTTCGGCCGACCCACCAAACGCCGCAACTCGCTGAGGAACAAACTCCTTAAGGACCATCAGGTGCGTCTAAATGAGGATCTCACTGACCCAAATTCTGATATTCAGTACCCGCCCTCTAGATTTAGTGACGTAGGCAGTTTAGAAGAGAACTCGAATAATAATGGAATGGAAGAAAAAGCTGCTGCTAAGGGAGTGTCTGATCAAAATAGGGTTGCAAACGTTAGGGTAGAAAAAGCAAAATCGAAACTTTTGGGTGAATCTGTTTTGATGGATAAATTGGAGAAGTGGGCAGACCAGTACAAGAAGGATGTTGAGAATTGGGGCTTAGGGTCTTATCCAATATTTACAGTTTATCAGGATTTTTCAGGGAACGTTAAACACGTCTCGGTTGATGAAGGAGAAATATTAAGGAGGAGCCAAGTTCAGCCAGAAGAAATTGAGGACTTTCCAGAAGTAAATTACAAAATATTGTCTGCCAAAAGACTGGCTAGGGAGATGGAGAATGGTAATAATGTCATTCCAAAAAATAGTTCTGTAGCTAAGTTTGTGGTTCAAGGCAAGGAGACTGGTTTTGTCAACACCATTCAAGGTTTTGCCAGTCAACCGGACTTGCTTCCCAAGCTTTCAGGAGTTGGTAGCCGAGTGTTGTGGGTTTTTGTTTTCATGTGGGCGGTGAAAGAACTGTTTACTTTTAAAACAAGGAAACTCAATACACAGAAATGGAGAAAGAAATGATGAGGAGAAAAATTAAGTCACGAAAGGATAAAGAGATGTTGAAGGGCACTATGGATGTTATTTCAGAAGCTTCAGAACCACCAATGTTACACGTTGAAATGCCCAAGTTAGATAAGGAAAAACTCAAGAATAATATCATGAAAGCGAAAGCTTCTGCTGATGAAGTTTTAGTTGGGAATTCATCCTTTAAAGCAACAGCCACCTCTACAGATATGACCACTAAAGTTCAAGAAATCAGAGATATGGCCAGGCAGGCTCGGCAAATTGAAGGAAAAATTCATTCCTTAGGTGGCAGGGGTAGGGAAATGGATGACTTCATTATTGGAGAAACTTCTGTGGAAGGCGTGCACAAACTCAGTGAAGAGGGTACAAGTTCAAGTAAGCATCAAAACGATGTTGTAAGGAAAACAGTTGATATAGATGGAACTCTACGAACACCATGCATGGATGTTATGGAAAATATATATAATTCATTACCACACAAGGTAGTTCTTGAAGATGGATGCAAGCTGGAAGCTTCAAATGTAATGGATTCAAATGATAAAAAATGCAATAAACAGGAAACAGAATTCTCTCAAAGTACCGTGCAGCCAAAGGATGAGGAAGTCAACCAGCTCCCAGATACAACCGTTGATGATTCATGCATGACTAAAGAAAGTTTTACAAACAATAAACCACTGGTCATAAGATCAGTGAAGGAAGCTAGAGCTTACCTTTCAAAGAAACATGACAAGCAAGATGTTGGATCAGAATCCAGAGTGCAAATCATGCGTGATAATATGGACGATTTGAGATCTGCAACTGATATTGATTCTAGGAGTCAAGAAAGCCAACTATTGGAGATGAACACTGCAGTGGCCAGAAATAGTGCTTTAGTTGGGATATCAGACTTAAAGCCTGCCGGAAATGCTGGTGAAGATTCTAATCAGAAGGATAAGGAGTCTGATATATTGAAGAATGATCACATCAAAGATTCTGAGGTTAAACATGAAGTGGGAGATCCACAGAATTCTGAGACCTCTTTAGACCATGAAGTTAATGGTGTCAACACAGAGACAAATCTGTCAGAAAAGACAGAAAATTGGTTGGAGGAGAACTTTGATGAAGTTGAGACCATAATTAAGAAAATCAGAGCTGGATTTAGAGATAACTATGTGGCTGCGAAAGAGAGGGTTGATCAACCTTTAGACATTACCGAGATGGAACCGCTTGAAGATGATGGAGAATTTGATTGGATGCAAAATGAGCATCTTAGAGACATTGTCTTTAAAGTCCGTGATAATGAACTGGCTGGGCGTGATCCATTTTATTTGATAGATGATAAAGACAAAGAAGCATTTTTCAGAGGTCTTGAGAAAAAAGTGGACAAAGAAAATAGGCAGCTTTCTTATCTCCACGAATGGCTTCATTCAAACATTGAAAATCTTGATTATGGAGCAGGTAGTATCTAATTTTCAACAAGCGTATTTATGTAGAATCTAATGAATTTTTTTCTAAGTAAGCAACATCCTTTTTGTTGTTGTTAGTAATAGTGCATGAACTGGAAAATAGCAATTAAATGCTCCTGGATTTCTTATACTAGTAATTTGTATGATCAAATTTTTAATATTTTTTAGCAGCATTTACTTGTTGAAGCCCCATGCTGATGGTTCTCCTCTTTTCTTTTCCTCCTCTAGATGGAATTAGTTTGTATGATCCACCAGAGAAAATCATACCACGCTGGAAAGGGCCCCCAGTGGAGAAAATTCCTGACTTCCTCAATGACTTTCTTGAACAAAGAAAGAAAAATTCCACCAGCAAGATGGAGCCTGTGAAGAATGAAGAAAATGGATTTACTAAAAAATCAGTTGCTGCATCTTCTGATGAAAACGTTAAAGACTGTGTAGCAACCAGGGATTCAATGAAAATTTACGCTAAGAACAAGAAAAATCCAAAGACTGTTGTTGAAGGAAGTGATGGTTCTGTTAAAGCTGGCAAAAAATCAGGGAAGGAATATTGGCAGCATACTAAGAAATGGTCCCAAGGGTTTTTGGAGTCTTACAATGCCGAGGCAGATCCAGAAGTTAAATCAGTGATGAAGGACATTGGGAAGGACTTGGATCGATGGATTACTGAAAAAGAAATAGAGGAGGCTGCTGAACTGATGAACAGGATTCCTGATAAGAATAGGAGTATTTTAGATAAGAAACTCAACAAAGTTAAGAGAGAGATGGAATTGTTTGGACCACAAGCTGTGGTGAGCAAATATCGTGAATATGCAGACGAGAGAGAAGAAGATTACCTATGGTGGCTCGATCTTCCTTATGTACTGGTATGCATATTGTATTTTTAGTTTTAAGGTAGTTGGCTAGCATATCGTCCTGCTCAAGTTTTTTAATCTCATTTGATTTATTTGTTTATTTTATTCCAGTGCATTGAATTGTATACAATCGATGATGGAGAACAGAGAGTAGGTTTTTATTCATTAGAGATGGCTAAAGATCTTGAAGTTGAACCTAGGCCGCATCATGTGATTGCTTTCCAAGATGCTGGTGACTGTAAAAGTCTTTGTTACATCATTCAGGCTCATATGGATATGCTTGGAAATGGCCAGGCCTTCGTTGTTGCCCAATCTCCAAAGGTATTTATTTAAGTTTATTCATACTAAAGTTGAGGTTTCCATATATCATTTTTTTCATTTTTATGTTGGAATTATTACAGAGTTGGATAGAGAAAGCCTAAGTTCTGTTCATGCTCTCAGTTTATTGTCATTTTATTTCATAATGTGATATTATTAGTGCAACTTATAATCTCTCCCGATTTTAGTAATTTCAACTTTCATTTCTTTGGTCCATAAGGATATTTATTTTGAAATGCTTTCCGAGCTGTTTTTACTTATTACATGTCACAGGATGCTTTCCGAGAGGCCAAAGCAAATGGGTTTGGTGTTACTGTCATCAAGAAAGGGGAACTCAAGCTCAATATAGATGAACCTCTTGAAGAAGTGGAGGAAGAAATTACTGAAATTGGCAGCAAAATGTACCATGACATGATCATGAAGGAGCAGTCTGTGGATATAAACTCATTAATGAAAGGCGTATTTGGTTTCAGTGACCGCTCCATTAAGAGGTATTTGTATGTAGTTTAGTTTCACAACTTTGCGTGGTAGGCAATATAACTCAAAATACCATATCATGATCCACTTCTTTAAGTTCTCAGTATTTTCCATGCGGATACTCTATTTATTGGTGTCTTTCATCTAATAAAAGGTTGAAGAGAAAGACGAAGAAACCCAGAAAGTGATGATGACTCTTGCACTCGGCTGAGATTGACATTGTCGCCCTTTGAAGACAAATGCGGGTCTCCACAGCCAGAGTTCTACCGAGGAAAGATTCGTACTCGAATGGAATTTGATGAACACAGCAAAGGACAAAACTTTGGTTCCATTTTGAGATGTTTACTGCTGGGTTCTCCAATAAAAATATGACAAGTGGACATTTTTTAGCAATTTAGCACTAATGCTTGAGCCATTTAAACAAGTTTTTCCACGTTATATTTTTCTCAGAGAGCCTAATGCAATGCCTAAAGAGCATCAAGGAAATTTACCTATAGTCTGTCCCATTTAAATAGGGCTGGGCCTGTTGGTCTTCCACCAGATTGTGTTAGACCCTGGCGGAGCTGTAAAACATAGGTCATCAGTTGTTTAGTGGCTGAGAAGAAGGAAGCCATTGCCATGGTAGGAACCTTCAAGCTTTCCTGTACTTATTATGCATCTAAATTTTTGCCTCGAGAATTGTCTGCACTGTTTTTAGTTGAGAAAATTATGGCTAATCAGCTCTTGTATCAGTCCTGTATAGGCATTGCTGTTAGTTATAGATGGAGAGGTCCTTTTTGTTATTGTACAGAGGATTATGCTTGTGTTATGAACTTATCATGGATCCACAGATACTTATATTCATATGAAAGGGGGAAAATCAACCTTTTAACAAGCTATTCCTGCTGATATGAATATTGCAGGAAGTTGATTCTTTCCATATATATATATATATATATACACACATTCTATATCTGATGCGCATTTAAAAAGAGACCATCCAAGGAGCTGAGTTGGTGGTTGAGTTCTTACTCTTCATACAAAACCATATTTTGCAATTTTCATACATACGTAATTGCTTAGATGCTTTCTCGAAGTAGTTCCCAGCCCATGTGCTGACTTGATAATTTTGTGCCTGAATCATAAATTAATAATATTATGGTCCCAGTTCTGAGTAATTCTTTGCTCATAAAGTCCCCGATGCATGCATGGTTGCTGGAAGGCAGAGAAGTCAAAACTAGGCTGCAAAGGGGCCAGCAGCCGAGCAAGATGCCTCCCACGTCCTACTTCATTTGAAGAAAGAATGGCAGTTAAGAACCCATGATTTATGTTAACGATAGTTACAAATATAAAAAATGGAAATACGTTTATAAAAATCAAGCATCAATCATGGTTTCAAAAGATCACTACTCATACTTTTCTTAATTTTTTTTTTTTTGTTTTTCTAGAGGGTACAAAGATGTTTTATCAAGAGACAGTAATAGATTTAAAATATCTCTAAAACATTGGGAAGATTACTTTGTATATGGTTAACTTTTCAGAGCAAGAGTGGTTACTTCGTAAAAATATTAGTAGTCCTTAATTTTTTAAATTTATGTTTCCTTTATATAAGTTATGGGTCTTTTTAACTTCCATTTTCCCCATCGCTTGCGGCACTGTCTTCTTGCCAGTATCTTTGCCAAGTAACATATCACAAGCAATAATCCTTGTTCTTGAACCTTTTTTAGCCGACCTTGTTCTTGCACTTTCAAAAAAGCATTTTCGCATTAACCAAACAAAAAAAAAAGTCAATAGTCTTCAAGCATTTGTCATTATAATTTCACAATAAAAAGTCATTTAGCAATTTTGTTTTCTTTGGACCAAAATTTAACAATTTTGTTGAATAATAGTAAAATAGTGCAATAGTCAAGCAATGCTAAAACGGTATAGAAAATGTTCGCCCTCATATTTTCTTTTACAAAATAATAACAATAATTTGATAATGAATATATAATTAAAAAACTTTTTTTTTTTTACCAATTAAAAAACTTACGATTGTTATTTTCTGAGCTACTACAATGCATGCATCACAATTTGATAATGAATACAATGCATGCATCACGATTGAAAAGAAATTTGCTAAGCTTGTAATTCTTTGTTGCTGTCTCATTCATCTGTCACATAAATAATTTTCAAAAGCCATGTAACAGATGCCAGAAAACTAAAATTAACACAATAGTGCAAGTGCAAGTGCAAGTCTTCTCCCAACTCCGGAGTTTCAAGTCCCAGCAAAAACAATCACACGGGAACTTTTGCAACGTAATTATACTGAACTACACTTATCAAACGTAAAGGATTCTTCATGCACCTCTGGAATTCAAAGTAAGGAAAGGAGTTAAAAAAAATACAAACTAGAATGAATATGTGAAATGTGCGATATGAAAATGATTCCAGACCTAGAAAGTCAATGCGATGAAAGAATTGTCATAACCCAGAAAGATCAATCATATGAGCAATATGTATGTACTGAAGCACATGTACAGAATAGACATTTGTGTACCAACTCTGGCTGATTCATAATTCAACTACAATCAAGAAGGTGCACTGGAAATCTCATCAAGACGCTGATCCATGATATGGGAAACAGTATCAAGCAGTGTCGCTTCGCTCATTCCTGGAAGAACAGAATCGAGCGCAGCTTGTACGATCTCCTCGATCACTGATTCCTTGTTCAAGGATTTTCTGCACATCAGGCGGCCAATTTCAAAGGGTGTCAGTCCTCTCTCCACTCCTTTTTTCAGAAGCATGGTTGAGATTCGAAGAATTCGAGCACATTCAATGGGGAGATCCCATCCGTGAAACTTCAAAAGGGCGATATCTTCGTCAGCATCCAGCAATTTTACGTAGTCAATAGTCTCTGGGGAGTAAGGCTGGCGAGCTTGTGGCCAATAAAGCCATTCAAAGGTGCAATCTTCAAACTGTTGAAATGGAAAAATGTCATGTGTTAGTTCAAAGTTCCATTGCGGCTTGTGGAAAAGCCAATTTAACACATCAGTTTGGTGGACCTATCCAAAGCACCAACTTTTGTCAAAGAAGATGAAAGTGATAAATGAAAGATTTAGAACATGCAAATGGGAAGCTAGCTGTCATGACTGTTTTAGGAAAATAACTACAGAAATCAGACTTCAGAACCATTTATTGAGAATAAAATGAAGTTTTAATTGATCTAACTACCAGCCAGGTCACCTCCAAGTTATCATGGAAATTGAACTAACATGTCATATAAGGCTGGAAACTATAGGATTATGATTATGCGATCTGGGGAAAAAAAAAAACTAGTCCTAGCCCATAATCCAGCATTTGGCCATAACAACAAAGTCCATAACCCAGAACGAGAGAATGAAAAAGTTTCCACCTCACAAGAAGGAAAAAAAAAAATCAATTCAGATAAACAAACCACCACATGCATTAAAACCCAAAAATTAAGCACAAGATAATGTACTTACACTTGTAGGCAAGCAGTATCCGTGATCAATTGGAATCAACTCAGCCTGGCCCGTTTCTCCTTTAGCACTGATCAGAATATTCCCAGCATGCCTATCTGCATTTGCCAGTCTTATATCCAGCACAGAAATTTTATGCACTTCTTTCACTGGGAAAGCCCCCGGCCCCATATCCTCGCAGCTCCCACTATTCTCCATGAACATCTGCAAGGAGCCAATCTTAGCAGTCATGTCCCCTTGATGGTTAAATCCATCATGGAGGCACTTAACTAGAACTGTGGGGGGTATACCAGCAAAGCCCTTCTTATCACCAAATAATGAGCGACGCCCACTAATTGGATGGTCCAAAATGTAAGCTGCAACTTCCCTGAATGCTCCTTGACCAACTCTTGTACCCTTTTTTAAGCCTTCCCCGTCCAATGACATTGGCAATCCACGAGGGTTATTCACAGCCATTGGCTCTTCATCAATAGGCTTAAAAACAGACACATACTTCTTCCCTGTTGAATCCATCATAAAGTAAGCTCCTCCTGTTCCCTCAGCTGATCTGACTGGATAGCTTCCTTTTTCTAATCCAGCATATGTTGAGTTAATCATATCACAAACAACTGAAGCTAATTCAACCTTAGGGTTAACAATAACTGGCTCCAAAAGAACGCGTCTGTCGGGAGCTTTTCTGGGCACAGTCTCTCTGAACACTTCTTCACCAACAGCATATCTGTTATTGCTTCGGTCAGTGTCATAATTTTTCCTATCGTTCAATTCTGTTGCCACAATGGACAGCTCAAGATTCTTCTTGACTGGTCTAGTCCGAACTTTCACAGATTTTTTTATCAACAGGTGTAGCACTGCATCCTTATGTTTGTGGCAGATATCGTCAATAAGCCTCTGGTCCTCGAGCTGCTCCCCATTACACAGAACTTCTTGCTGTTCAGGATCAGAGAACTGTTTCGCCCTTTTGGCAATCTGTTGCTTCACATACCCGACATCTCTACCTCGTTCCACATGAAACGTAAATTCCTTCCCACAAGAAGTTTTCACACTGATCGCCTGAAGATCTGACAATTTGAGCACCAAATGCAGAACATTTCCATCTGTTACCCCATAGTCCCGGAGTAAAGTATCACTCCGGGCTAGTTCACGGCCACCACAGACCAATTTTTGCTTCCTTGTTAAAAACCCATTACAATTTTGGATTTTGAGTTTTACAGACTCAATAGTCTCACACTCCAGGACACGCATGGGAGTCACTGATCCCGAAAAAGAGAGAAAGATAAAAATGGAATCGTCCAGGGACAAGTGTGATGGGCATCGGAATATATTTGGGGCCAACGGCTCGCTGCCAACCGGACTAAGAGCAGCCACACCAGTGGACGACATTTTCACAAGTGACGAACAATAGGATTAAACAATCGAAGTTTGAGGCTGTGACTTACGCCTGAACCTCAAATTCACAAGAAATTTCACAATAATACAGCCATCTCTGTAAGAATAGGGATTCTGGGTGACAATCGCCACGACCCAGAAGGAACTTCCAACGATAGAAATGAAATTTTTGACGAAAAAAGAAAACAAATATACAGACTCCCAGACCTAATTCCTCATTTCTTCCCCAAAATAACTAAAAGGGAATTCTCGCAATTAGATCAGGAATCGAACAACACGCGGAAACGCAGAGAGGAAAAGAGAGCAGACTCTTACCCTCCAAGGCAGAAGAAAGGAGAAATTTACCAGATGAAATCGATCCCAAGAAAATCGAAAGCTTTAGGCTCATCACCAATTATAGAAAAGCAAACAGAAATGGGTTTTGCATATTTGGAACAGATTGGAACGAAGCCTAAGGTTTTGAAGGTAGAGTTCTCATTCAAAGTTCGTGAACGGAGGAAAAATTTCCCATTTGACTCTGGCTGAGAAGCACAAATACGGAAGAAGGTGTAGCCGCCTGGCTTTATATAAGCAGAACGACCAATAGCATCTTTGCACGAAAAATCCAACCTTTACAATTATTAATGGGTCACCCAATCCTATTTTTGGCGTTTGTGGCAATGACGAAGCAAAGGCAGCAACTTGTGCAGAGGCGCGTCTTACAAGTTACAAGTAAGAAGTACTATTGTACTTACCCATATGCGAGGTTCGATATTTTTATTCTCATTTTATTATATTTCTTAAAAAAGGAAGCTTCTTAGCAACTTGTTCGAAGATGCCGTTGCGACTTGCGCGCTGGAGCCTGGAGTGGTCTCCAAGCTTCAATCCACAGGCACAGGGTGAGCTTGAAAATCTTTAAAAAAAAAAAAATCAAATTGAAAATATCGGAAGTGTTCATCCAGTCAGCGAGTGACACGCAAATGGACCGTTGTCATCCAATCAATTTGTGTTGCCACCTCTCACGGGCCACCGACGTTGCTACCTTGTCATGTGAAAAGGACTTTCGGAAAAAATTCGACTTTTTAGTTGTTAGATGATTTTTAACAAAACATTATTAAAGTAGGTTTGTTTTTTTTAACATTATAAAATGGATCCAAAGATTGACAGTTCCCGGAACAAGAATCCTTCAGTTTCAGTTGGGTTTGGTTCACAAAAAATATTTTGATAGAATGAACATAAAAAATGGAGATAAAAATAGAATAAAAAATAAATATGAGAAGGTGATGTTTAGTATGTATGCAATAAAAATAATTTACTATATGATAATTTGATGTTATAAAAATTAAATAATAGAGACAAGTAAAAAGACATGAATGCTTCTTTAGAAAGGATGAAAAATGATTTTTTGGAACTGAAAATCTTTTATGTTGGAATCAATGAAAATAATTATTTATTCAAATTTCAACCTTTATTTTTTTCAAGCATTTCAGTTTTTCAGCCGATATATTTATTTATTTATTTGAAAATATTGGCTCTTTATCCTCAATATTTTTAGAGAGGTTCTTTTCCTTTCTTTCAATTTCCCACTACCAAACATGCTTTATGTAATGCTTGGGAGATTTTTTAAGATAAAATGAAATGAGATGACTAAAAACCTTGCACCTTTATTTGAAAAAAAAAAATTAAAAGATGATGGAATGGCTTGAGGTGGCCTTTCAACTATTCCTTACCATTATAAATTCATTTTTCTTGACTTTCCCAATTTATAAGATTAATGATAAAATGCTATGATATAAATAATATTATTACAAAATTACTCTCATCTTTCTCACCCTCTCTCACTCTTTCACTCTCCTTACTGTAAAATTAAAAAAATATAATTATATATAATTCAAATATATTACTTTTATAATTATTTTTAAATAATGATTAAATAAAATTATTTATTCATTTAATAAAACTTTCAAACAATGTAATGTTATATTCCATTCTACTCCATCCCACTTTACCTCATTGTATTCCATTAATGATTGCTCCTTTTAGTTCCATTGATACTCTTAAACATACCTTTAAACCATTCTTACATGACAATGGGTGCTTGGTTAACATCTAATTATTGACCACAAACAGTCTAATTATTTCAATAAACATTGTTTTGAAAGGCTCAAGATCAATCATTCTATTCAATACTCTTCTAACCCTATTTATAGAAAAAAAAAGACAAGATTATTTTTCCTTATTTATAAAATATTTCACTATTTTTTATATTTGTTTTTACCCTTTTGCACTTATTAAATGCCAGGAAAGATTATTAAAAATAATTCATTTTGTTCATATTAGGAGTTTGAGATGGAAATTCATTGAATTTTAAAACAGATTTAATGAGATTAATTTTTTTTTCCAGCTTTGCTGTTTTGGTAAAGTATGCTGGAAATCATTTACAAATAAAATCAAATAAATAAAATATAAGACAATATTGTTTCAGGCCCAGAACGGCAATAGGACCCATTCGACGAAGTTCTTACCTTCTATAAATATATATAAAAATAATATATTATTAAAAATAAAAATTCAAGCCCTCCTTAGGAGATGAGATATCTGCTGGTTGACTTTGTACAACCCCTCTAATGAAGGAGAAACCGAAAAGGTCGAAGAAATGCTTAAAAAAAAAAAAAAAAATCCTTCTCTTGTTTTTTTTACTTGTTTTGAAAAGTTGAACATGCCTTTCTCTTCACTTTTTTTTCCCTTTAACAATGACCTATTTATAATTTGGCTTTTAAAAGCTAATAATATCAATACATAATTTGACTTCAGCATTTCATTTTCCATGAAACGCTGAACAATATAGAGTCAATGCAAGGATTGGGCCATTTTTTCAGTTGAATTTGTCAACCCTTTGAAGCTCTCACATTTCATATCATCCTTCGAACATATCACGTTCAAATAACGGTAACACAAAGGTTACAAAGAGTCGATTTGAATACTGTCTATATTTCTTGCCTCTGAAGAAGTTGCTGGATTTTCTGTAGGTGCAAACCAAATCGTCACCTATTCAGATCTCAGCAACCAGAGCCACAAGGAATGCCAATTCTGGTAAGCGTTGCATATTGAAGCTACAATTGTGATTCTTCGGTTTCTGAGTTCATCAAAAAACTGGGAAATGCAACAGTGACGTCCCTGAGATTTACGAGCTGGTTAGAACAGCATATCGAAACAAAACTGAAAACACGTGCTGGGATTCAAATCTTGTCAATCATAATTAACATAAACAACAATAAAAAAAAAAACAAATGACCCTACAATAGTTGCACATGGGAATTCATTCAAGATTACATGGCCTTAAGCTTGTCAAAGAATTTGGTTGTGACTGATGACTCGAACTTTTATCCCAGCAATAAAAAAGAACATAAAAATTTTCCATCATAAAGAGCAACAAGTAATTTTCTCATGAAGTTTTCATTTTCTCTGGATCATTCTTGACAATACATATGTTGTGTGATGTTTTTACGTTCTCTTTATCATTGGATATAGCAGGAAAACGCTTTCACAGAAAGCAATTCAGAGCCATATGCACAGAAAGGGAAAAAGTGCATGTCTCTTGCCATAGATTCTAGAACATACATCAGATAAGGTAGAGTCATGTTCTTCAGTAATGATGGGTTGTCTTCCACATATTGTTGCCATTCTTCTGTATCAATTTTCCCATCGCCTTTCGTATCTGCTGCCACAAATGTCTGTCAATGGCTCAAGTAACAGTACATGTGAGTACCTTATACCAAAGCTTTTTACTCTAATAATTTAAGTTTGAAGGACAATACAAACCTTGTCCACTATTGTTTCAACCACATCATTAGAGAGTTTTAGATCAGACTCAGTCAAGATTGCCAGCACCATCTCCTTCAACTGTAAGAGTATTCATAAGTTTCCAAAGTCTATCAAATAAGACCGGGTTGTTGTCTTTGATGTATCATAAAATTTTACTACAAAAGCAAACCATAACACTATAAGGAAACAAGACATCTCATCAATGGAGTTCTCCAGAGTTAATATTTTCCTTCACAAACTGTGATAACAATAAACCAAAAATACAACCAAGATACAATGTTGTCCCATGTAAACCATTTTGTGGCTACTATTTGTCCAAATGACATCAAAATTCAAAACCTAAGCAACAGAACTAAGGGGTTTAGCTAGCTTCCTCCTCATGAGTCATATATTCAACCTTACTAACAGTTGGCTGCCAAGATCAGGGTAAATTGAATTAAATACAAGTTCTGCGCATATGTGACCAAGAAATCAAAGCAAGCCAACATGTCACTGGATTTTTAATAAACTGAATCTAGATATGGGAAGGATCTCATAGGAACCAACAAATCAAACCTCTTTAGATGTTGGCAACTTGGCATAGATGCCATTGTTGTCATTTTTTATTTTGGCCAACACCAGTGTAGTTATTTTGCCTTACATTTTGTGGGAATATTTAATATTTATTGTAAATATTATCTATTATTGTATACCCTTTATTAGTAGTTATTAGGCATTATTAGCAATTATAGCAATTATTAGTATTTATTCCCCTTGTTGTATATATAGTCAGCATGTATCTCCGTTTTTTCATTCAATAGAAATATCATTTTCTTCCAAATTCCACATGGTATCAGAGCATAGGGAGAGAGTGGGAGAGCGTGTGGGAAAAAAAAAAGAAAAGGAAATTAAGGTTCAAGCACATTGGACCTAGAGAAGTAATGCGAGGAGGAACGTGAGTCCCAATAAGGAGGATGATCTAGATCACACCACCCATAATAAGACCTTTGGCAGCCTCTAATGGGCCTAAACCCAGAACGCTGTTGTCATTGGCGGCGTGTATAACTCACACGCGCCAAAGTTCTATTCAGCGTCAAAGAGTGCAGGGTGGTGCATGGCATCGCATGAGGGGTCCATGTTAATGGTGACACCTTCCTCTGTCGATGGCCTGGTATTTCTGGGATGATTCCAACATTCCCCAAGTTTGGGGATTCTTTTCCAAAATTTCTCTGTCACGAGCTCCTTGTTCTATTTTGCAGCTCTGTGTGCATGTCGTCTTTATGTGTAGGGCTGTGGTTTCTGACTTTTCTCTATTATGAGAATATTTTTATGATTGTGGGAGTACTAATATGGATCCTCCTAACATTGTCTCCGTGCATAACTAGAACTGGTGCTCAAGTCTTAGTAGCAAAAAGCGAGAGTTTTCTTCATGCACTAAAGACATCCCGAGATTCCATTGTCTGGATCGTTGACTCAGGAGCATTTAATCATATGACCGATTGTCATCAATTGTTTACCACTTACAATCTATGTGCTGAAAATGTTAAAGTGAAGATTGCAGATGGTTCCTTAGCAGCTATAGCAAGAAAAGGGAGTACTCGAATTTCAGATTCTATAATGTTGGAATCTATACTTCATGTGCCTAAACTTGATTGCAATTTGCTTTCAATCAGTCAATTGACCAGCAATCGAATTGTTATGCTAAAAAGGGAGTACTCGAATTTCAGATTCTATGATGTTGGAATCTGTACTTCATGTGCCTAAACTTGATTGTAATTTGCTTTCAATCAGTCAATTGACCAAGCAATCGAATTGTTATGCTAAATTTCTCCCATCTCATTGTGTATTTCAGGACCCTCATCTGGAGCAACAATCGAAAGTGTTAAGGAGTATGAGGGGCTCTACTATTTTGAAGTCTCTCATGAGTGGGTAACTCACCGATTGTTGGTAATTATATATCTACCTTTAAATTTAATACTTTTATATTGTGGCATAAGAGGATGGGTCACCCTAATTTTCATTACCTTAAACAATTATTTCCAACCCTTTGCTTAAACTTGAATATTAATGACATTCATTGTGAAGTGTGTGAACTTGCCAAACACCATAGAACATCCTTTCCTAGGGCCACATACACACCCACCAAACCTTTCACAACCATTCATAATGACTTGTGAGAACCTTCTCATACTCCCAACCGTGCTAAAACATGGTTATTTCCTTCATTGATGATCATACTCGTGTCTGTTAGGTCTATCTTTTAAGAAACAAATCTGAGGCAGCATCCACATTCATTAATTTCTTCATGATCAAAACCCAGTTCAACGCCACCATTCAAATCTTACACATCAATAATGGCATTGAGTACTTTAACCAATATTTGAGTACTTTCCTCCAAATGCATGATATTGTCCATATTAGTTTTTGTGCCCATACACCTTAACAAAATGGGGTTGCTAAAAGAAAAAATTGCCATATACTTGATGTTACTAGAGCACTTATGTTTCCTTGCAATGTGCCCAAATTTTATTGGAAGGATGCTATTTTGACCGCAACCTACCTAATTAACTATATGCCCGGTCGAATCTTATCCTTTGAAACTCCTCTCCACAAATTGAAAAGTGTTTTCTCAACATTCCATATTGAAACTAATCTTCCACTTCGTGTGTTTGGTTACACAACCTTTGTCCATAACCACCAAAGCACCAAACTTGAACCTCATGCTACTAAATGCATTTTCCTTGGCTATTCTGCTACTTAGAAATGATACAACTATTTTGACCCTGTCTCAAAACACACATTTGTCACTCTTGATGTCACCTTTCATGAGAATACTCCTTTCTATCCCAATCCTTCGATTCAGGGGGAGAGCGTGGGTCAATCTCAAACTTGGGATCAAGAACCTAATCGAGAACTAGTGCTCCTTGAACCATGGTTTACACCAACTGAGCCAGTACTACCATCACCTCTTGAGCCTTTACCTTCAGCTATTCTACCTGCACCACCATCTCCTCTTATGCCACAATCTGGAGAACACAAGCGAGGAGAAGATGCACAAAATCACAAAAGGGAGAATTGCTTGTTTACACTCGAAAAAAGAAATCGAAAGACAATGAGCAACTTGTACTGAAGTACCAAGAGAGTCAAAACTAGAGGCAGCTCCTAAAACAAATACTTATGGAGGCTTACAATTTGGGGCAACTTCTAAAACCCCAAAGATGGATGATACAGAACAAGTAAGTGAATCTACTGATCCTGACCTTCCTATTGCTTTGAGGAAGCCAACTCGCTCATGTACTTTCCATCCAATAGAGAAGTTTGTTTCATACAATGCCCTTTCGCCTCAATATTGGGCCTTTGTTGCTAATCTTGATAAAGTGAAGGTACCTAAGTCTATACAAGAAGCTCTAAGCATCCCTGAATGGCGGAGTGCTATCATGGAAGAAATGAAGGCCCTAGAAAAGAAGAGACATGAGAACTTGTTCAACTACCTAAAGGAAAAAAACAGTGAGTTCCAAGTGGGTGTTCAACTCAAAATACAAAGCTAATAGAACTCTTGACAAGCTGAAAGCACGCTTGGTTGCAAGGAGATTTACTCAAACATATAGCCTGGACTACGAGGAAACATTTGCTCTAATGGCAAAATTGAACACTATTAAAGTCTTGTTATCTGTCGCAGCTAGTCTTGAGTGGCTTCTTCACCAGCTTGACTTCAAAAATGCCTTTCTAAATGGAGAATTAAAGGAAGAAGTCTATATGATTCTACCTCTTGGGTTTAATAAAGGTAGAGGAACTCAAGTCTGTAAATTAAAAAAGTCTATATATGGTACGAAACAGTCACCAAGAGCTTGGTTTGATAGGTTCTCAAAAGTCCTAAAATCTAAAGGTTACAAGCAAGTGCTTTCGGATCATACAATATTTGTTAAAGTTGAGGGAAGCAAGAAATGTATCCTTATTGTTTATGTCAATGACATAATACTCACTGAAAATCATCTTGAGGAGATAGAAAGAGTTAAGACTACCTTGGGTAAGGTGTTTTAAGTCAAAGATCTTGGAAAACTAAAATATTTCCTTGGGATGGAAGTTGCTCGGTCACAAAGAGGAATCTATGTTTCTTAATGAAAATATATACCAGATCTTCTGAAGGAGATAGGTATGTTGGGTTGCAAACTTATTGAAACTCCTATTGAGATCAAGAAACTGAAGAAGAAGCCCAAAAAAAGGAGGGAAAAGGAAAAGATCTCGAGGAGGAAGAAAACTCGGATGAGGAAGGCGATGAAGAAGAGGAGGAAACCAAAGAAAAGAAAGAAGCAGCTGACAAGAAAAGATATCAAAAACTTGTTAGAAAACTAATATATCTTTCCCATATGAGACCAGATATAGCATTTGCTATCAGTGCAACTAGTCAATATATGAGCAACCCAATGAAGAGTCGTATGGACGCAGTTTCCCAGTAGGGGGTTATTCTTTAGAAAACATGAGCAAAGATCTATTGAAGTTTACTCCAATGCAAGTTGGGGTGGAACCTATAAAGATCAAAGGTCAACTTCTAGCTACTATTCATTTGTGTGGGGAAATTTAGTTACATGGAGAAGCCAAAAGCAAAGAGTCGTCTCAAAAAGCAGTGCTGAATCTGAGTTGAGAACTTTAGCTCAAGGAATAACAAAGGAATTGTGGCTAAAACGAGTCTTGAATGAAATCCAAGTTGAAGCAAGCTCACCATAGAAACTTTGCTGTGATAATAAGGTTGCCATAAGTATGGCCTTAAATCTAGTGCAACATGACAGATCTAAACATGTAGAGATAGATCGATACTTCATTAAAGAAAAAGTGAAAGAAGGAATTTTATATTTGACATATTTGCCTACAAAGTTGCAAGCAGTTGATGTTTTGACTAAAGGGTTACTTGGACCTGCATTTGAGAATTGCATAAGCAAGTTGGACATGATTAGCATCTATAATCCAACTTGAGGAGGAGTGTGGAATATTTAATATTTATTGTAAATATTATCTATTATTGTATAGCCTTTATTAGTAGTTATTAGGCATTATTAGCAATTATTAGTATTTATTCCCCTTGTTGTATATATAGTCAATATGTATCTCCGTTTTTTAATTCAATAGGAATATCATTTTCTCCCAAATTCCACACATTACAATACAGAGATAAATGTTCAGGCAAGAAAAGCAACCATGACCAATGCATGTCTCATGAGATTTGTGCTAATATAAAGCATATTTATCTACAAAGAAGGGAGTGCGTAGATTGCTTGGCTTACAAGCAATCTGCCCATTAGTCAAATTGCAATTCGAAGTTATAATTACGTTCCTAGTTCTGTCCCCAGGATGTTTATCAGTACTTACTAAGATTTCAGATAAGATTCCTATGCAAGAGCTACATCAATTTGCAATCTAAAGGTAATTAACTTGAAAAAAAAAGGTACCTCTTCACGCTCAATGTAGCCAGTGCGCCTCAAATCATATAATTTAAATGCATCTGTCAAAAAAGGTTTTTGCAAACTTGAGTAATGATATGGTGATAAATGTGATTTCAAAGCCAGTGTGAGAATGGATGATGTCTTCAATCTTATAATTTACTGAAATATGATTAAACATGGCATGGTCAATAGTATCATGGCTTATAGACCTCTTTTACTCTCCTTTTTTTTTTTAATTAAATACTTACATTTTATTTTGGCTGCTTCGGGAGTTTTTGGGTGAAAGACACCCAAGGATCGAACAAATTCTGAAAACTCAATTTGACCATTGCGATCAACATCAAAAAGATCAAACATCTGCACAAAGTCAATATCTCTTAACACAGTGATTACAATCAAATCATGGTTTTTATCAAGATGGTTATGAGGTTGCCCAAGTCAATGGTTGCATGGCAGGGATATCCGCTTATAGAGTCAATACAATGTCCAGTGCAATGACAAGAGCATAGCACTATAATAGTCTAGTAATATACAACAAACTTCGATGCAAAACTGGTAGAAATAAAAGGTGGAAAGCGACAAAATTCTGAAACCCTAAAGGTCAATTCAATATTTCAATAATCAACAGATAACAACTTCCACTGACTTCATGCATAGTAAGAGAAAATACATAAGCTAACTTACCAAAAGAATCAGACACAGAATATGTGAACAAAAATGTAAGGTAAGTACATTATTCTAACAATATATCAAGGCCCAGTAAGCAAACATAAGGTGAAGTCTGAAATGCTATATTAAAAATCTGAAAACCCCAATTTCCTCAAATTACAAACCTTAATTCCCAAATAACATTTATCCTGTTGCATTGTAAAAGAAAAAATAATTATATATTCTCATACTGCATTTACTTCTCCTAGCACGTCAGAGAACACTTGATTTTACAAAACTTTAACCTTATTTAAGTATTAGCAATGACTTTTGGAAAGAAGTTTGGCAGTGCAGATTAACACGTACAATTACAGAAATAGTTGTCCAGGATCCTAGTTAAAAATAACACAGTGGAAGAAAATCCACATACTCTGTCCACAAAAAGATTTCGCTTGTTGCTGTTTCTGAAAAGGGCAAAGTGAAGATCTTCCTGTACACCCACATAATGGAAAAGTACCAGTTGTTATGAACTGTAAATTTAGCAAAGATCCTTGTTATTTGGAATATTAACAGATAAGAATCGCGGATATATAGACACTGTCCAGTTCCTGTCCCATGAAAAGTAAGAAGTCAAAATGAACATTGACGAGACTATAATTCAAAAATTACCTTCCGAATATAACCGTCTTTGACAACAGAAGTGCTTAATCTTTTGTATAACTCATACAAAGATTCCACATCACTTATAGAAACTGTCAGACATAAAGTAGTTTCAAATCAGCTTGTCTTACACAGATGATTATCAGTTATGACATGACATTCAACAGAAGATATCGCATGCTAAGATTCTTGAACACCATAAACTATTTTCATTTACACCAAAAACACTAATATGAGGAAAATATACTAGCTATCATGTGAAGGTGCTGGCATTTGTATCGATAAGCTATGACGCCCCAACACTTTAAAGAAAGAAGACAATATTACATTATGTGACTTTTTAAATCACATATGGACACTTCAAACAATCGAAGCGTTGCTCATGTTATTCCTCCTGAATTGTAGAACACAAATCACCAGTCCACAACACCAAGATCAGCAAACATACCAAAATCCTTGGGAGTAAAAGATCCGATCATCATAAAGAATCATATTAATTCATGGAATGACAAAATCAAAAAATTAACAGTACAAGTTTTTCTGACCCACATGGTGTTTCAGAGGCAAGGCGAGAAAATTCTTCGTGGCTAGGTCTGACATTATCATTCACCTCCTTCGAGGGTCCGCAGCCCATTTTATACGTAAGCCAATTTTGTCAACGCGAAATTTGAACTTTCCTTTAAGTGAATTTCTTCAATCTGCCATCAACCACCATGACAATGGAGAGGTAATCAAAAATTACAAGATAAACTGCTACGGTTTCTCGAGCCAGGTGTTTTCTCTTTGGTAAATTCTAAAATATGAACGAGTGAAATGCAGAAAACTCAGCAAAGCCAACTTCACGATCACTCCATTTCCTGCTTCTATTTTGGTTTTCTTTCTCCTGGATTGTCTTTCTACTACTTGACTACTTGGATTGTCTGCATTGCACACCAAGCTTTATCTTATCTTGGAACTCAGGTTGTGTACTGCCGATAAACATGGCCACTGAATCTACCTGGCAACTTTTGTCATCGTTTTTTATTTTGGCATTAAAAAAAAAAAGGAGCGGTAAAGCCCAGGTAAAACAAGTTGATCTACCAGTTTCCAATAAATGTCGAGCTTGGGCTCTAAAATATAGTATTATAATAAAGCTGCCGTCCATAATAGTTTCATCTCAGTTAGCAGAGTCTTTCGGTCAAAAAAAAAAAAAAAAGTCAGGCACAGTCTACAACACAATAGCCTTCTGCGAGAAGCACGTGTCCTGCACGTGGCCACACCAACGAAAGACCTGCAATCGTGCTTCCCCTGTCCTATTGCTTATCAGATCACAATAAAATTAAAATAATTTTTTTTCCAAAAAATTGGAGTAATTAATCGCATCAAAGTTTGTATGTATTTTATAAAAGGTTAAGTCGTGACTTTTGCCGGTGAAAACAAAACAAAAAACAAAAAAGGGTCTTATCTTTTCATAATTTTTTTATCATTTTAATTAATTTTGATGCATTTCCTGAATTTTAATGTACTCCATGCTAGTATAATAGAAGCAGTTGATTTAACCTCATTTGCTTTGGTATAGACTTAGTGGAAGGAATACAACTTTTCAACTTACCTTATTGTAAGTAGAAAAGGCCTTTATATGCTAAGTGTATGATTGAGGGCTAATTATTTTAAAGCATATAATAAAAAAAAAAAGAACTTGCGTATAACTATGAGCAATCATTTAAATATAGGATTTTGTATACCAAATCAAATTGATTTTTACTTGTAAATAAGAATATGCTATCATCAACACATGCGACGCGTATAATGGAAACGCAACAGCAAACATGTCTCCAAATTTACATTACGTATGCGAGGACACTTGACTTGGGTAATGATTTAAGTAACCCGTATATGTTCGAACAAGTATTTTTTTTCTTTTCAAAATAACGTTATTTATATTTATATTCATAAATAATTGCGTTGAAGTTTTGAAATATTTTTTTAAAAAATAATAAATAAAAAGTCATCAAGGACCTCACTTACTCTAGAAGCTGGCCGGGGTAATAATTTAAGTGGGCTGCTTGTTTACTCTTTTTATCAAAAACATAGTAATTATAATATTTATTATTATCATTACGCATGTCTGCCCCACTCGAATCTTTTTGTAGACTTCTATTTTGTTTTTAGCCTTTTGTCCTTTCAAATCCCTTAATTGTTTTTTCCTGTTTCTTTCTGAATAATATATAAAAAAAAGGATGAGAAATGGGAAGACAGCTAAGGCCACGCTTTTTTTTTGTTTTTTTTCCCTTGGGACCTGAACTAGGGCCGCCTTGCAAATTAGTCACGCTTGGAAGGACAAAAACAAAAATTAAAGCTTTGGCCAAAATTAAAAATTTAAGAGTGAAGTGGCTAATTTGACATATTCTTTAAAATCTACACTTCAAAAATGAACATGGCCCAACCACCGAATGCTTAAGTCAACTGAATAAAGGGTTGTTTTAACTTATTAAAAGTCTTGAGTTCGAGTCTTGAAAATGCAGCCATCATAGTAAATCTCCCTCAGAAGGTGTGATAGAGGCTTCCCACAAAAATGGGCCAACCCAGTCACAGTCAGGATTAGTCTGGCCCTGCAAGTTTGTAGGCTGAGATACCGGATGCTATATGCGAAATAAAGAAAAAGAACATGGCCCAATTTAGGGTAGATTGGGCCTGATGGAACAAGTAAGCAATGGCCCAAAAGTAATATGGGCTTTGTAAAGCCCACAAGTAAATCAGTAACATTCCAACATGCTGGCCAGCTGGTCGAGATCTAATACCAGATTGAATCTCCATTTTCATTCGATAAAAGAATGGGCAACATGACTCATAAGTTATAATTCAATTTTAACTTTGAAGACCTAAGAATTCTGGTGTTTAAGAGATTTTATATATAATAGAAAATAAAAAGTACATAAGCTTACAAAGGGAAATAATTCTCATCAATATATCAAGATATCTGAAACGAAAATTGCATAAAGTCATCCCCCATTTGCAGCCTATAAATTGTACAGATCGTTCTTTTTCCAATTTATGGTTAAAATAATCAGGTTTGGTTCTATCTAAAATGACAACAAACGCAGACAAACATTTAAAAAAAGTGAACAGAGTATCTCATACAATGATGCAACAATAAAGTAAATAAAAATATAAGATAATTACATACATGCATATAATATCTACACTAACATAGATCTCCCTCTCAAATTTTATGGAAAGATTTTGTTAGCATAAATTCAATACAGTTTGCCTTGATATGGAATAATTGATTTATTTCTTAGTTTTTTTTTAAAAAAATAATTCGTGCCTCTCAGAAACTAAAGCATGAGGAGATATTACTTGTATAAATTCGTTTGGGCCGAAAACGCTTAATTTGCCATTGACAACAGTTGTTCTGAAAATCAAAGGAGAGAAAATATTCAACCAGGGGGGCAAAAAAAATTGATGACGTAGGCTCTGAGGCGAAGCATCAAGAACAGGAAGGCAAATCAAGAGGGTCGGCCGGATATTAAATTATTTATTTATTTATTTTTAAAAGAATCCACCTGAAGCTTAATCACCAGTTTAATATGATGTACCTGTTAACGTAATCATTGTCATCTTAGAATCTATAAAAATAATTTAAAGTGAACTTTAAATTCTTCTTCAGCTTTTAATTTTGGGCAAACATAATTTTTTATTCTTATACTCCTATAATTTCTTAGGGGCAGTTTCATCATATTTTATTTTCAATCTCTACAATTTTTTTAATATTTTCAATTCTTATCATTTTAAAAATATTAAATGATTTTTGTTTTTTAAGTCTCAATAATTTTTTTAGTGATTTAATTTCTTATAGGGACTGAAAATGTTAGAAAAAAATTATAAAAATTAAAAATAAAACTGGATAAAACTATAAAGATCAAAGGTTATGTTTTTTTAAAAAAAATTTTATTGACATTGATATGATACATATATATACTTTTTTTAACTGATATGCACATAACTATTGCGAAACCAAAAGAAATTGTTAGTTATACCTTCATTTAATTTTATATCATTCTATCAAAATATATTTTATTTAATATGTTAATTAAAAAATCATGAATATGTAATTAGAAAATTTATTTAATAAAGGTATTTAAATTTGACAAACTTGTATAGTGACATTTTAGTTCAACGAAAATTTATTTATATTTTAAAAAATAAACCAATAATCTATGGAAATTCAATAAAGTTAAAAGAGATCATAATTTATCTTTAAATATATCCTTACAACATCATGGGGATGGTATGATAAATGTCTTAAATGTTTAATTTTTGGTATAATTATTGTAGTAAATAAAAGTAATTACTGTACATGTAATAATTTAGTTGAGGGAAATAAGCTTAACTGCTGATAGAGCAGATTTTTTATACTAATAAAAAAAATAATTTGTTTAACAAAAGAAAGAGTAAATATCAAGAGGAGTGGACTTCTATGCATGAATTTTGGGAAGGCAAGGGGGGTGTCTTTGTCAAAGGGCTTAGAAGGGGGGCATGATAGCATATGATGCAGATTGCAGAGTCTGATTGGATAAAGTCACAGGGGGAAAAAAAAAAGATTCTATCATTTAAAAAAAAATAATAATAAAGATTCTTGTAATGAACGATTAGTCGGTGGAATGTTGTGCAGCGCAGAGCGTACAGGTACAGCCCTTTCATTTATTTATTATTGGTTTATTTTTTCCATTTGATGATGAGATCTGCTTTGTTCTCTATATCCTATTTGGTATAATTTTAAAATAAATTTTATTGTTCAATTTAATAAGAAAATAAGATGTATGATGTTTAATATTTTTTCATACAATTACTTGTACTATTTGTCTGATTAAACAGAGTGGACGAACATAATCCTGTGCCACTGTGCTTTATTTGCTTTTGTATTAGAAAAGTAATATTAAATTCTCTTTAAATTATTTAAGTAATATTTTAATCTTCAAAATAACATAATTTTTTTAAAATATTTAAAAAAAATTTTGTTATTAAAAAATTAATATAAAAGATTAAATTATCCTTGATTCAAATAAAAATCCTAAACCTCAAAACAGATACTTACGAATATGTAAATTATTGATAAATTCTTACAACTTTATGAAAAAAATTATAAATATTAGAACAAACTTATGAATAACAATTGATATTTATAATATTTGAAAAATATCATAACAAAACTTGCAAATGACAATGCAAACTTGAAAACTGATGTTAAATTCTTACAAAAAATTTTAAGATTTTAAAAAAATTATAATATTTTTAAGGATTAAAATATTATTTACACAATTTAAAAAAATTTATTATTATTTTTTTTTTATTTTGGATGCAATTTGACAGTGGCAAAATCAATTATGGTTTTTCGTAAAAGAAACATGAAGTTCATCAGGCATTGCAAAAAGGCAATATAGTGTGTGTTTGGATTAAAAAATTTTACAACTGAAGTTAGTAAACTGAGCTTAGGAAAAAAGTCTGTGACTTTAACATGATTTGTGTTTGGATATTTTTTTAAAAAAAATCAGTTAAATAAATTAAAATTTATTTGGATGATTTGATTTAAAAGTTGAATTGTGTGATGACAAAAATGGACATGAATATATATATATATATATATATATATGTTTTGTGTGGCTAACTTGATATTTTTAGAAAAAATATTAAACTTAAAAAAATTTAAAAAAATAAATTTCAAATATAAAATGCATTGATAAATCAAAAATTTTACTTTCTAAATAGGTATAATTAAATGATAAAATTCAAAATATTAAGTATTGAAAAGCTAAATTAAATTTATAAATTATAAAATATTTCATTCATATGAGCTACAATTTTATTTTAAAAAAGTAGAATTAACAAATCTAAAATATGTAACAGCACGGCCTCACCACTGTCTCCCCAGGGTCTTTTGGCGGTGCTGGGACCCACCACCCTCGCGAGCCCAAGTACAGCATTCCCCACTAGTGGTACAGTGGGTATTCCTCACCCCACCCTCACGGGGGTCTTTTAAAACCTCCCCAGACTCTTTGAC